CAACATTGAAATCTTTTCGAAAAATAATAAATGGTCACCATCGGAGTACTCGGAAGGTACGTTGGCAATAACGACCAATGTGTAGTATTCATAATAATGTATATGGTGTATGTGCGTTAATAGTCTTTTTTCTCGTATCACTTTTATATTATTGGTTGTATACTTGTCGTTCAACGTCTTGTTTTGATAGATAGACAAACATCATTGTCCCGTATACATTTTCGTGTATTTGACTTTGAATGGTATTCTTATTCATTGTGTCTTGTTGTTGGACATAGAAAGAAATGTTCCTGATTTGTTTCGTTTTGTCTCAAGTCATTTGATCAAAACTAAATACGTCAGCTAAAGTTACCATATTGTCCGCTCGTTAAACTGAGGTGTGTGAGTTGTACAAATTAGCTACCACGATCCGGATTTCGTCTAAATTTCACAGACTCATCAGGTGGTTTAATAATCTGCACATAGAAATCTTCCAATTTACGAAGCATAAATTTCAAAAGCAGCAGCCGTAGATAATCCAATTTATATATAGGTGAGTTATATATAGTGGAGCTCTACTATCGCGATTTCGATCTTTTCGAAGGATCGATCATCAGGTAGGTAATGTTTCTTTTGCCTAGTGGCCGGGCCTTTCGAGGCATCCTCAATATGTGGTATGCTGCTGAAAGGGTTTGTGAACAATTGGTGAGTTTACGATTATGTGATATGATGTTGTTTCGTGGTTATGTACATGTAAAAGTAGCTTTTTTTCGAAGGAGAATTGAGCAATGAGTGTATATTTGTGAAAAGATAGATAAATGGTTGAATAAATAAATGAATAAAGATGGGAATAAATAGAGCAAAAATCAATAAGTGAATAGAAGAAAGAACGCTACAATAAAATGTGATTTTGAAACAGAGAGAGAGAGAGAGAGAGAGAGAGAGACGATGAAAAACGAACAAATAATCTACTTGTGAACACAATGGGTGAGAGTTGAGTAATTATAATTGAGAATAAATATGCGAAGGAAAGAAATGCAGAAAAGAGAGTAAAAGAGAACACATTAGGAGAACAATGAGTTCAGATGGAGTGACGAAATGATATGATTATTTTTTGGTATTATGTTCTTTGACGCGTTTGATCCTATCATCAATGTCATCTTGACCACCTGTACGTTCTTCATTGCTTGTCATCGATGAATCTGTTGTACTATCATGACCACTACTCGGATTCGAAGGTGGCTGATTATCTTGATCTGTTCGTTGTCGTTTGTGAAAATATTCATCAGGACCTACATTGAAAGACACACACACACACATATATATATATATAGTGCAGATGAATGTTCGGATGTTAGATAGAGTACTGAGGATTTGCAAAAAGAAAAGTCAGGGATAAGTAGACATTACCCATGACATAAATAAATGCACGTTTACGCCAATAGGCATTTGTTTGTCTTTGCTCAGCTGTCACTGGCTCTCTGAGTAATGAACCAGTATCTTCTGGATGCATTAGAACAATTGCCGGTTGTCGAACGTTAATTGTTTTCGTTTCACGATATTTGTCACTGACCTAGATATGAAGAAGAAAAGAAAAAGATTTCACGAGAAAGAAGTCAAGAAGGAGTAGAGT